TTTAGACTAACTTTTTAAATAGTTCACTCTGATTCTTTTTGAGTACCATCTCAGGAACCTGGTTGTTAAATATAAATTAAAAGTATTTGAGAGGTAATATTTGCAAAGCACTTTTGCATCCACAGATGAATGCTGCTGTATAATATGAACATTGACATATTTGACAAGGCAACAGAGTTAAGTGTGATACAGAGTCAGACAAAAGATTTTTTTTCTTGTCTGAAAAGCCCTTGTTTTGTTGCTAATATTAGAGCTACAGCAGCCTATTTGACAAAAAGCACCTCCTAATTTGAGAGCTGTAGCTCTTAAGCTCCATAGTAGCAGCTATTTACCTGGTTGGCTCACTCTTCACAAAATGTGCCCATTAAGCTCAGGGGATAAAGCAGAAAAAAAAAAAAAAAAGCCAACCACTCTACTGAGCATGACTGAACAAACAACTGTGCTGGTATGTGTTTGATAAGAGACAGGAGAGGAAAAGGAGATAAACCTTGGACTGTAAGACAAGAGTTACATATTCCATTTAGAGCAAAAGGGAAAGCTATTATTGACTTTACTGAGAATAACTCATGGTAGCACAAATTCTGGTTGCAGGTGTTTGGAGGATTTTCCCTGAGGGAAGGTTTATGGTATATATACATACATACATATACAACATCCGTTTCTGTCAAGGGAATTTATGCATGCACTCTTAACCAAGAGTAAATTTTAGCCCTTTTCTTCTTCACTGATGTTGTACAAGCTTTTTCCAAGCTTGGCAAAGCTAAATTAAATTGGGCAACGTTCTGTGTGTGTTTGATGTCTGCTAAATGAAGTGAGGGTCCAATTCGTCATATTTACTCAAGCTCACTCAACTCTAGTAAAAATTAAAATGTTCCAGTTAATTTAACAAGATAATTCAGCTCTCTGAAATCTTTCTTGCTCAACATTTGTTGCCATTTAGAAGTTGAGGGTATGTGCTGCCATGTAATTCTTTGGACAGATATGAGGACTTAGCAATAAACAGTAGGCTTTTAAGACACTGGACTGACATTGTATTTAATCTCAAGCAAGTTCCTAAGCTGCCACTGGAGAGGGGAAGTCTAGGATCAGACCCTTTGGGTTCATTATATAGAGAAAAAGAATCACACACAAAAAGCCATGGAATGTTTAGGCAAAAATCAGGCTGACTTTAGGTAGCTGTTGGAGGATGAAAATTAAAAAACTGCCATGTTGAGTAACTTGCATAAAAAATATAAAGTAGGCAATGGAGGCAAGAACCAAAATAATCAAGTATTCACTCATGCTTGGTACTTGGAAACAACAGCTCTGCCTTGAGGTGAATACATGTCTTCATCTTGCAACTCTATTCTATGTCAATACAGACAAGGAAGCCAAAACATCATGCAATATTTGTGGTACATATGTGATAAAGTCCACTGAAATTATTACTCCGTGAAACGAACCAAGGCTGAGAATTTACAATTGCCCATACCCATAGCACTGAGATTTACTCACAGGAACTTGCAATATTGTCTCTCTGCACACTGGCAGCACTTGAGCGTTCCTTATGGAGGAGGGGAAACCCAGACAGATCAGCCTCCTGGTAGCACTGGGTGTCCAAAGCTAAGCAAAACCATTCTGAGCCTCCCATTCAGATGCCTGCAAACACCCTGCCTTCAGTCCTTCCACTTCCTATGAGACTGTGGAGGAGACAGAGCCATGTAGGTAAGAATCCATTAAACATCTTAGCAGCTTGGCAATGTTCAGCAAACTTTAAAGAATATGCAGGTAGGTGGAATGTAAAAAGCTGGTACACAAATGCAGAGCAATTTAAGCATATTGGTGCTGGGGATTTGAGCAAAATTACAGCAATGTGCTACTCTTGCTGCAGAATCAAAAGCAATGCAGAGCACACCTGGTTTCATTAGACAAACCACGAGCAGCCAAAGATGTCTATCATTCACCCTTGGAGAGATGTAAGTCAGATGGGTGAAGAGTTATCATGATAGTAAATATATTTTAATGTGCAAATATATGGGTGCTTTTCAGGGATTTTTTTTCTAGTGATTCTTAAAATGTTTTCATTTTCTATTGAGAAAGACAAATTACATAAGCATTATCAGTGATAGTATTGAATTGCAGTGAAAAAAACAGCAAGTATGTTTGCAAAAATTAAAATATAATTAAATTACTTAATCAATAATAAAGCTCTTTCAGAAATACATCATTATTTCTAATCACTTTTGAGCAAAAGGCATGATGCAGAGGTAAATTAGAACCTCAAAAAAAAAAATCTATAATTACGAATTGTCAAGAATCTAGGAAAAAATCCCAACCCTCACCTGAAGAAAAGTTAAAAGCATGGGGTTATTTACATTAGAAAGGAGACACATAAGAAGGACATAATCGAAGTATGAAAATGGAATAACTGGAAAGGGTTAGAAACTTCACCTTAGAACAAGGGATTTACTGAAATAAAAAGATGGCAAATACAATAACGATAAAAAGAAATTTACTATCTTCATTCCTTAATTGAACTATGGTAGAGAGCTGAATAAAATATTTTTCAGTTTTCTGTTGTATGGTGCACTGTAGTAAAAATAGAAGCATTTTAAATAAAGTATCTATAACAATATTTACAGATGCTATAAATCTAACAAGCACTTTCCAGAGAAAGTAAAATATTACATTTAAACTTTAATGTGTTGATTCAGTGTTTTTAATTTTATCCTATATAGGATAAATGCTAAAAAGAAGAATCAAATCCTATTGAAGCAAATTATCTCGGTGATCAGCAATTAATATTTTCACCAATAATGGGAATGGGAATTATTTAGAATTTTTTCTTTCAATTTTTGTATTTTATATTTTGTGAAATGGAAATTCTCATTTCCAACTACTTTGGCCCTCACCAACACTGGATTTCTTTGAGAGCAAGAATTTACCACAGCTGAACTTTAAAAAATGAAAGAATATCCACAGTGATTGGAGAGAATGGAAAATAATACCTTGTTAAGAACATTAGATCTCTGAGACTTCCCTTACTTTCAGGCATGCTGACTTCATTCCTGGGCTGGTTTACGGTGTTTGCCCACTAAAACTCTTTCCTCCATAGCACCTGTCGGAGGAAGGACGCAGGGCTGGAAGGAGCTCTGAGTGTAATGGACTCATGGCCCAGCTAGACCACCTCCCCAGACATGCAGTGCTGTTGGGAACACATGAGATCAGGATTTAAATCTGTCTTTTCTGTCAACAGCAGGGAAACAGCTCCCTGGAATGATGCTGGAGTCTTGCAACTTTCCAAGGAATGGAGGAGAGAGCTGACACCAAAGGAATTTTGCCAAACGCTACCCAAGAACTCAAATCTAGTAACAAAAATTAAAGAATAAAACTGAAGCCAGAAATGGAGATAGCAGAATAAAATACATTTTCAGTTCTTTAGAGATTGAAAAAACCCACTGTCTGCCCCCTATGCTGAAGATGGAAAAAGAACACACATGTGCTGAGTTCATAGGCTGAGTGTTACTTGCAGCTCTTTCAGATGATGAAAAATGCAGATGAGGCTGATAAGACGACTCAGGGGCTTCTGCTGGGTGCTACAGCATGAAGAGCTTGCCTTTCATACAGGACAGAAAGCCAAATTAGGTCCATGTAACTGTTCAAAATTCATTAGAATGACCCTAGTTAAGCTTTGCTTCCATGCACACTATGGTATATGATAACATAGCCTAGAGCAACAGCAGTAGTGGTGGTAACACTTTCTGAAACATTTCCACTACTTGAAAGACGTTGGATTTGTTAAAATTTCTAAAAGGATTATAACAGGATGAACTGGGTTTTTTCCTTTTACTTTCTCAAAGCCAGTATAATAATATTACACAGAGCTTTTCATCTTCAAAGATCTTTACAAATCTTAGCAATTCACTGTAACTGAGCAGTTATAAAACTATAGTAAAACTCATTTTTGCTGTCTTGCTAATTTTTTCATATTATTTTTAAGAAATAACTTTACATAGCAATAATTTCTTTCATTGGACTTGTTCTGCAAATGTAACATGAAACTCATTACTAAGGGACTTTGAACAGTCACATCCCCCATATAATCATTAGTCATAATGCTAATAAAAATAAAATATATTCTGACTCCCTGCTATTCCAACAGAAGGTGACATACTTTCAGTGTAGACATTTAATTCATTGGTCTTTCACTATTTAAGTCACAAGCAGGAATAACACTGGAACAAGTATTACCAAAAGAACCATCTTACCAAATATGACCATATATAATATCTGTAGCAGGTGAGAACACAAAGCAATTTTTTAATTCCCCTTTCTATTTCTAAGCAGTTGCTATAATAACATCTAAAATATACCCACAACATTCAGGTCATTGCTGTACAAACAGGCAATTTCAGTACTTAACACTAAAGGTCTGAGCTTGCCCACTGTGGGCAAACGCCCCCTGCTCCTGCTCACGTTAGCGGATGCTGAAGGCCCCCAACAAGAGACAGGACTGACTCATCTGGGCTTTACTTCACATCAAAAAAGTGCATTACACAACACAAGGTGCTTCTCAGTGCAGGGAAGGGAATCGGCAGCAAGCCTCAATGGAGCAGATTTGTGCACCTGAACATTCACAGGCACCTCTGCCCACTTATTCCCAGCAGCACGAGGGAAGCTGAAAGGCTGCCAGCCTGCTCCTGGAGACCCCGCCGATGCGAAACGCCGACTGAAGCTGGAGCACTCTCTGCACCCGGCACTGGCACAAGTGCCCCAGTTTGAACATTGTAATAATACTTAGCAATAATTTCTTTGAAGCCAGAGTAGGGGTCAGGCTTTTGATGGCCCTAAAACATTTCCTAAATGAGGCCCAATTCTGCAGCCCTTTCTCACAGTGAGTAGCACTTAACTGTCCAGTGATGCCACGGTGACAGCTTGCATGGAACTGTCACTGCAGAGGCAGAGGAAGAAAATGTAAAAACTAAATTTAATCATAGAATAACTGGGCAAGGGTCAAATACCTGAGTCTTGAGTGGCACTCATTCCTTTGTCTTAGCTTGCTCCACAGTAAGAAGGCATTTCATATCACCAAACTGCCCCTTGCACAAGGGTCCAACAAGGTCCCATGAACATTCATAAACCCTAGAAGAGCCCTAGAGAGAAAGAAACTCCTTTCAATGTCCTTCATTGCAAAGAGAGTAGGCTTCTGGACCAACTCTGGTCTTGTAGCTCAATGCAAAATGTGGAGAGGAGCAGAATGAATAGCAGACTACATACCTAAAATAAGAGAAAAGAGAAGAGTGGCAGGTCATGATCATAAAAAAGTCTGCAAAGGAAAAAACACCCTTTTTTTTTTCCTCACAACATCATTGCAATATGTTTTTTTTTTCCTGCCAACTGATTCCAATACTTAACACTAAAGCCTAGGTTCTGGCCTCCTGGTAATAAGTAACTTGCAAGAGCCTGGTCACAGAGACGTCAGAAAACCATGCAAGTTGCTTGGATGGGAAAGCCTCTTTCACAGGAGTGAGCTGTAGGTGGTAGAGAGGCTCCCTGCCACAATTTTACATTGCCCAGACATAGTGATATAGAAAGAGACAACAGAGCAATGCTGATCTTCTGCCCTTGGGCAGCCTCCGCCTGCCCTCTGCGGCAGGGATGGACAAACAGTGAGGGTGATTCCTGCTCGTTATCTACAACTTCAACACACCTTTTACAGGTTGGGCTGGTTTAAACAGTGTCCAAAGGCTGAAATGTTATAGTGAGTTTTACTATACACCTAGTTGCACGTGTTTAATTTTTACTGTCACTTATCTAGAGCAGGGGATTTACTTCCTGTATTTGACAAGGTTTACTCCTAAAGGATTTACTGTGGTGTTTGCATTTAATTTCACTATGAACGCAGTCTGTGCTATGAGGAAAACAGAAGCTAACAGAGCATGCTCTGGGAGCTCCACACACAAATCAAGCTGATGGCTTTATTTGGAGTAACTGTTAGAGGGAAAGACTAATTCATGGTAAAGCAACATTCTGGCATTGCTCTTCCCTTCTGGCCTACCTGAGAGGACCAGGACCTCTTTCCATGGGTTGTATCTCCTCTCCCATGACACGCTTGTTTGCCTCCTCCATTCTCTCTCAGGGAACATGGCTGGACCAATAATGGGAAACACTCGAGTAAGGAGTGAATACTGCCATGATGCACAAACCCCACTTCCAGGTTATGTAGCTTCCTTCCGCGTCAAATGAATATTTCACATTGAGCATATGGCAAAATGAGCACTCAACTCTGCCAACTCCATTGTTCAGCTGCATCTCAAATCCTGCTTGTTTGGCATTGGAACTACAACAACCTCACCGAATGAGACCAAAATACTTTTACCTATCAAGATACATGTCCTGAATATTGTGGTTTAGGTCTCACTAAATACACAACAAGCCACAAAATATCTCAATCAACATTATACATTGTATTACTACCAAAACACAAATGTCAGAATTAAATGCAGTTGTAGTGCAATAAACACCATCACATCTCCCTTCTAGAGACATTTTTTAACCAACCTTTCCGCTAAAATCAACATGGCTGGTCTGTGTTATTTAATTATTGTCTAGGCTCAAAGATCACCCTTTCCTTTTCTTTATTTTGAAAAAAGAAAAGCCCCTTTTTTGGATTAACAAAAATATTAAACAGCAAGACTGTGGAACATAAAGGCCATCGGTTGCATTTTGCACAGGATAGGTTCTGGTTGAATGAGATCTGGGATGTGTGCCAAATTAATAGAAAAAATCCTGTTCTTCCTCTCCAATAGCCACAATGTTCATTATTAAGAAAAGCATATGAACCACAGGATTTGATTTTAATAACACCAATGTCTTCATTAATCTGTACTTTCCATTTAGCCTCATTATTAAGTAAATGCTGAGTTAATGCAGCACCTATTATTGTTGGATTTTCCATGAAAAACCTCTTTTCTCTCTTCTTTTCTGATTCATTCAAGGACTATCAGGTGTGTGTGTCATGTTTTTAAACAGGCCATCCTCTGTCAATGGCTGTTTTCTTCCCTCAGGTCTATGCAGCTACTCCAGTAACTTGCGGTCTACAAAGCTGATGAGTAACAAAAAAAAAAACAAAACACCAAACAGCCCAAGAGAATAAAACCCTCATAAACCCACTCCTAACTCAAAACTGTATTTGTTTTGGTGGTGTTTTAAATGCTGTCATGTCAAGGAGCCTCTTACTATCACCTGCAACTGAGCTGATCTTCCCTGGATGCTCCATGCAGCCTCCTTCTAAATCACGACTCCTGATGGCCAACACTGCTTTGTATCTGCCGAACAAATAGTGGCCTTTTGTCCAGCACAAGTTCCTAAACAAACTTAATCTCTCTAACACTGTGACAGATGACATTTAGATGTCCTTGTTACCCTTAAAATGAGTTTTATTGACAATCAGAGAACAAAAAGAAGGCCTAGATAAAGCCCAATGTTTTATAGGCCTGCTAACAACATCTTAGTTCTTAGTGCAGAGGGTGTAGAGAAAGCCTGGAGTTGCCCCCATTTTCCCCTGCTTTGCTATATCACCATGACAACAGATATAGAAATCACTTAGTGACTCCTAGAAAGAAAACACAGTGACACAGTACCCCTTGTATGGCGAATCAAACTAAAGCTTGCATTCAAATGGCTATTCAGCTTGGGCATTCATGTAGAGGATGGGGTGGATTTTACACAGGTAACAACAACAGAAAGGCCAGCAAGCACTCCAGCCACAGCATATGGTAAAGTCTCTGTTTAATTAATGCATCCTCAATAGAATTTATCCATTTTAAATTTGTTTTCTTTTACTTGAAACATCATTAATGTAAAGGGCAACATTAATCAACATCTTACAACTTAAAAGGGCATTAAAAAGTGATCTTTCCCCCTCCACACCACAGAATCTTTTCAAGTACTTTTGCTCACTGCGACTGATTCCAGGCAGTCAGAGTTCTTAATCATAAGGCAAATCTAGAGAGGCCTCTACTGGCCAGCCTCTCCAGCTGCAATTTTCCCATTTTTAAGTGCCTTGGAAAAGCGAGCAATAAAGTAGCTGCAAGCTTTTATCTTAAAGTTGCACACAGAACGGATTACTGATAAATATATGGTGCAAAACATAGGATAATTGTGCTTTTTTGAAGCTATCACGTAAGGTATAACTTTGCTGTTTTAAAAAAAAGTAAGAAGACTAGAAAGATTTATTCTGGCTGTGATGTGTTTGCCTCCATGACATTTTGAGACATTTTAAGATTATAGGTCTAAAAATTAATGGGTAATCATTTTTCTTTGTGGACAGGGCTCTCCTTAAAGTTAGGGCTTAAATCCATTTACACTTGAAATTCTCATATGCATGTGGCATTTTATATATGCATTTCTCACAACTGGAGTAAAGCATACATCAAAGCTCAGAGAACTGAAATCAAGAGCACAAGAAAAGGAACTTAGTGAATGACAGAGGATTCCTGCTTCTGTGGGCTTTCCACAGTGACAGCATAAAGACAAAGAAGTTTTAAAAACCCTTTTTAGGTAAAATTTAATGTTTCAGGCAATGGTCAGTGTGCTTTGTGCTAATTATCGGCAATTTTATTCAGAAAATAAAAGAGTTTCTGTTGTATCCTTTAAACAAAAATATGCAGTATGAGTTTGAAGTCACTTAAAACTAAATTGACTTTCTTTCTTTAATTTCTTTTATTCTACTTATCAACCACAAACCATGGGAATAAAAAGTACTTACTAGGCAGAGAATGCAACTCACTAGGTTTTAAGTCATTGCTATGAAGATGGAAAAATTCTAAACCAAAATGTATGGAGAATGGGCAAACTGACAGATCTGGTGAAATAAACTCCAAAGCTGAAGGCTGAAAGAGGACACTGATTCTAAAAAGAAAGTGCAAAATATTGATGGAAACCACAAGGGAACCTACTTACCTTGGATTTTGGTAGGCTGCTCCAAAATCTTAATCTAACTTACTAAGATTTTTTTTTTTCTGTGCAGAATACACAGCATGGTAACTCCTAATACTATTTTTTTTTTTTTTTAAGTTTACACTCTTTAGTAAATCCTAAAGAAGTCACATAGTCACATTTAGTAAATCCTAGGAAGTCACACAGGTATTATACTTACAGTAAAAAAAAAAAAAAATTCAACCCATGGGTGATCTGTAAATATACTTTTTTTTTAATAGAAGATGAGATATCTTAAGACCATAATCTAGTAAAATTTTAACGTTTACAAAAAAAAAAAAAATCTCACATCACATAAATCCATCTGCCCTTCAACTTGAAAAGTATTAGAATGAAAAAAAAAATTCCTCCCTGACCCAATACGATTTTTACAAATACCTCAAGAATAGAACTATTTTAACAAGCGTGGATGGGTTTGTATTTCTCACAGTAGCCAGCACTGAATATCTTTCTGCAACATTTGTCCGTAAGGCGGTATAAGGCAGCAGCTGGTTCTACCTGCGGGGAGGGCAGGGCGGGAGGTGTGACCCGGCTCGCAGCTCGGGGTCCCGCAGCTCAGGGTCCCGCAGCTCAGGGTCCCGCAGCTCCCGGGGCCCAGCTCAGGGTCCCGCCGCTCAGGGTCCCGCAGCTGCCGGGGCCCAGCTCAGGGTCCCGCCGCTCAGGGTCCCGCAGCTCAGGGTCCCGCAGCCCCCGGGGCCCAGCTCGGGCCCGCCCGGCGCTGCCCGCGGGGCCCACCCGGGCCGCGGCGCGTCCCTGCCCGGCAGCGCCAGGCCCGGCCGGGGAGCGGCGGAACCGCCCCGTCAGTCACAGCAGCTTAGTGAGGGAGGCACAGGAGCAGCGGCCAAGGGGACCGACAGTGTGAAACACTAATGTTATCTTCAGGTATTTCCTTAAAAAAAAAAAAAAAAAAAAAAAAAAAAAAAAAAAAAAGGGGGGGATTCCGTTTAGAAAGTGGTGTTCCAGAAATAGCTCAGGGGTATGTCCAACAACTGTGCCCACAGCGCAGGGCTAGCGTTAGACTTTCTTGCTTTTAGTTTTATTTGTATGGCTTGGTGGGGGTTATTGGTTTGGGGATTTTGTTTGTTTGTGGTTTGTTTGTTTATTTGTGGTTTCTTTGTTTCTTGGTTTGGTTTTTTGTAGTATAAGATCACCTATGCAGAAAAG